CATGTAACTTTTAATTTTAGTTTTAACTTTCGCCCCTTCAAAATAGTTTTGGCAACCAACACTAGGTTACAATAAGGAAACATTTGAAAAGGATATGTCACTCTCCCCTAACATTCAGAATTTCCTTATTTTAGTACTTATTATTATTACTATCATGCGATTTGGAAAATTACCCTTTTTTAATTTAACACAAGGTACGGGTAACATACTGAATGGGTATGTTTTTGACTCCGCATCAAACATATGGAATAGGCATGTTTTCGTTCATTATAGAATCAATGATGTAATTAATTTATTAAATGGAATGTCAAAAATATAAAATATATACAAACTTACCGGTTTTCCTGTTTTGAATTTTAGGGGTTGGTTGCCAAAACTATTTTGAAGGGGCAAAAGTTGAAACTAAAATTAAAAGTTATATGTGAAAACTGAATCAAAAGCCTAAAGTCAAAGTCGAAACCTTTTGATTTTCGCACAGTTGCGAAACTCTAAGTTTTGGAGACCAACACTAGTGATTTGAACTCTATTTTTTATTATTGGTAGTACCATTGATGTGATCAATGTATATTCAAGAATTAAATAAATTTGTAGTAATTATCTTGTACTCAAAATATGATGCTTTACCCTTTATCTTTATTAACATCATCATTAGTATTATTATCATTTATCATGATTGTTGTCGCTATTTCTAACTACCTTTGAAAAGACTAAGAGAACAAATCTTTTTGAAGGAGAGAAGAAAAGCTTATTAATTATTTTATGGATTTTCCAATCAAAGTAAATAATTCAATATCCAAAGTATCAATAAAAGAGCAGAAAGTAGCCAATTACTTGAAAATGCAGACACACTCTCAACTTCACACATAATATAAAAATAGGTATATTTTTTATAATTGAAAATAAAATAAAAAAATGTACATATATTTATTTAAGCAATAATTAATCAACAATATAACAATTGAAATAATTAAAAAGCTATTTTGTAAAAATAAAAATAAAAATATCTTTTAGTTTGCAAATGTAATGATATTATATATATATATATATACACCATACTGTATGTATAATAGACAAAAATCAATGTTTGGTTCAAGATCTTTTGATAGGGTCATTGTATTAGATGTTACGCGATCCCAACTGTTGTTTTAGAGATAATAATAATTATAATTAAATAATTTTTTTATAATAATCTAGTTAACATTTTTAACATTAAATTTTTTTATAACATCAAATTACTTGTAAACCTTGACCTAAGAAATACAAATAAGGAAATTATTTGCATAAAAAACTACGAACCTTTCTTATACATCAGGAAAAAAAAAATTTTCCCCGCCGTAATATTATGTCCATAAATTTTATGTAATATTTACACTCAATGTAATTTTTGTATGCTTATTTGCATAATATGACGAGGCCCGCCGTAAACTTACATAAATAGTGTAATAATTACGTAAATCCGTGCCAGAAAAAATTTCCTGATGTAGTTTTACAAATATATCATTTTCGTTTTTTGGATAATTGGCGTGTGTTTTAAAAAGAAAAACGATAATATTATTATTTATGATGATCTTATTTAAAAAAAAAAATGTATACGTCTCAGCTGACAATCAAAAAAAATTTTAAACGATAATACATCTTGGGAGTTTGATTGGGGTATATAACTCCTTCGAGACATGATTGTTTGCTTTGTAAAAAATGTATTCATCTTGATAATACTTATGCAGAAAAAAAAGTTGTAATGGAGTGGTATTATCTTCCTTAATTTATAAAATTTTGATTTGTTCAGTAACTGCAGCAGGCAAAAAATCTTCTTCTTGAGCGTGTTTCTCATATATACAGCTTATTTTGAAGAATGGATAAAAAATTAAATTATTTTTTGTTTTGAAATAGAAATGAATATATCATTATAGCAAATGTTTCCACAGTAAAAAATTAGATGTAATTATAGAATTCGCACCGACAAATAAGATTGTTTATATATCAGGTGTTTTAAATGAAATTCCTTTACAACAAACAGTATCTCAATAGACAAAAATATCTTCAAAAATGGGACTTGGTTTGAACATATAATTTCACTTCCACTAAAGTGAGTTTTTTAATATTGTATTCATTCATAATCATACTATCATTATATTATTAAATTTATAATAAATTTTCTTTATTAAAAATAACAGAGTAGATAGAAATCAAAAGGTTAAAAAAATTATTCTTCATAGGGGATTGGTAAAAATCATTATAAAAAAAAAAATATTAAAAAATAAGAGTGAAAGATTCATTTTCGAACGTGAATAGATTTTTTTTCAGATAATGATTAATTTTATTTTTTTTTTTTGAGGTTTAAAAAATGTATATAATTTTTGTAATAAAAAAACTTTTTTTTTCAATTTATTATTATATAGATTTTATTATTATGTATATTTTTTGTGTTGTTTTGTTTGTATATATGTGTATTATATATATATATATTTATTTATAAAAATCATTAAGACCTGGGAAATAATTCGTAGGAGAGTTAAAATAATCTTCTTTATTGTTTCTAAATAAAAGGTGGTGGTGGTGATTATTGATCTATTTACTCGCTACTCTAGTTATTATTGTAAACTTTTTTAAATTTTTTGAACACGACATATTATTTTATTGATCACTAAAACGGTTTGGATTCTAACAAAATTGCAATTGCAGTAACTATTTAATTATTTTCACCATCCTGGGGTTACTCTAAAAGACAATATATAAATGGCTCTAAATCTTTCTTTCATTATTCTTGTGTGTATACATACATACATACATAAATTCTGTGATAATTTATACAAAATTATCTTATATAATTAATAATTAATAATTAATCACATAACCAAGCAATTATACATATTTTCGAGAATGAGGTCAATTACAATTCTCCTTGCTATTTCCATTTACGTTTTTTTCCTAGTTCAATCGGTTTTTTCAGCAAAAACTTGTAAATTATCACCAATTAACGTCCAGTCCAAAAATTTTAAACCATTGCCTATAGAAGGCTTCGGTGTCAAAACGGCACATGATGTAAGATTGAAAGTCAAAAAAGATTCTATCGAGCTCACTTCCAAGGATTTCAAAAATTCTCATATCACCGGAGAGGAAAAAGGCGATTACACCACGTTTCTGATGGACAAGATCGTAATCAACATACCTGCTCTAAATAAAATAGATGGCCAAGCCCACCCTGCCGAGGTAAACTTCGTATACAAAAAAGAACCTAAAGGCCTTAATAAAAATAACCTGGCCATCCTTACTACTCTTTATAAATTTGCTAAATTTGGTGGCAGCTCTTTCTGGGATGAAGTTATCAAGGGAGTAAGTATAATCTCCTTGTTTATCGTATATATAAATAATGCGTATCATTTCCTTATATTTACTTGATATGTTTTATGTCACAATAGCTAAAGCGAAACAAGAAGATCGATGTGCTTAAATTTAAGAATTTACTTGATATTACGGATACCAATAATGTAAGCATGAATTCAATTTCCATATTAATAATATAATATTTATTTGACAATTCATCATAAATTTAAAGGGATTCAATTATGATGGTACTTTGACATCACCACCATGCAAACCTGTTGAATGGTACATTACCAGTCAGATTCACGCGATCAGTATACCCCAATTTAGAGCATTAAAAGCAGCCATGAAAAAACGTTAAAGAGCACTCAAAAATTTAGAAAGAAAGAAATAGAATATTTTTTTTTAAAAAATTTGAATTGAAATTATATTATTATTGTTAGATTAGATTTTAATTTTAATATTCTATGCTTTTTTGTACTAAGAAATTAATTATTTGTAATGCAAAAAAACGTCACTTTGACGAATAATAATAAACGCACAATGAAAGGTGTTCAATACCCTATAGAAAATTTATGCACGGAAGTTCCTTACATTTTTGTAAAGAATAATCCTTTAATAATAATAACGCACGTAAATTTTTCGGAAAAGTTTATGTAATGTAAGGAAAAATGCATTTTTGCGTCATGGGAAAAAACCTGTAAATTTTATAAATAATGGGATTGTACTAAAAAACATACTTATTGTAAGGGGCAAACGTACTCGATATACGGGTAAACATACTCAATGTAAGCAAGAAACGTACTCAATGCAAGAAAGAAACGTACTCAATCTAAGAAAGAAGCATACCCAATCTCTATAGAAAATTTGCATACGGAAATTCCGTATGAATTATAATTTTTATTGCTATTGCTATGGAATGATTATTATAAAGTATACGGAATTTTTACGGAAAAAATTATAATGCAATAATAATAATAATGATAATTTTTTATTGCTATTAATAAAGTAATACATGTCATGAGAAAAAACGTAACAAATTAACTGAAATTACCATAACTCAGTCAATATCTGGCTGTTTTGGATAAAAACAACCATCATTTGAATTCTCTCAATGAAGTGTCTAATTCATAAAATTCGAATCACTAGTTAGTGAGATATTTTTGTTTACTGTATATCGTTATGAACATTAAAACACCATTATATTACCTTTACAATACTATTCTAATAAGCCATGTTTCATTAAAGTTGGATCATTGGATATGACATAATTTCAACCATTTTGACTTCATGTATAGTATGAACGTGTAAAGCAATTAATAATATTGTATACTTTTTCTGTCGCTTATATATTCAAATACAATATTTGAAACAATTAGGTAAGATTTTAATGAAGCAATAATAAACTCATTATCTGTTATACTTTTCTTCAAAACTATATATATATAAATAGACTCAAACTTTGAATTCAAAGGGGAGTTTTTTTTTTAATAATTTCTTTGGACATACTGTAAATACATATAAATATTTACTAGTTCTAACTGTTAACTGTTAATATGTATTTTATATTTATATGGCCATTCATATATCTATTAATAGTTGGTAAGCTTATTCAAAGGAAGGTGCTTTTTTTTAAGATTTGAATGTCGCATATGCTAAATATCCAAATTTGGGTTAGAAGACAATATGGTTGGTTGTCTTTGTAAAAATTTAGGTGTATTTTAAAGATTTCTTTCTAATAAGTAATCGAAAATGACAATCAGTGATATTCTAGTTTTAATAAATAAAACAAGCTACTCAAGTTGTTTTGCAAGTAAACAAAAGCGAGTTTGCAATTGGTCAATAAATGTAAACGAATAAATCAATCACAAGTGAATAAAAAGAATTTTATAAAAACCCTTGAGTTTTGTAAAAGACTGTATGATATGCAGCTGGATGTGATTTGTGTGCTTGTTGTGAAGCACTACTACTGATATAATTATTATAATTATTATTTTCACGAATTTCCTTATATTTATTATCAGTGAGATCATAAAGCTCTCTACTAGTTGGTCTTTTTGATGGATCCGCATCCCAACACCTCTGCATAATTTGCACATAATCATCAGGTATTCCAGACAGTATTGGGGGTCGTAAATCTTTTTTACATATATCAAAAATCAAACAATGTTTATGAGCTCTATTGTCAAAATGGTGGGCGACTTGCAAATATTTCCCACATTAACATTCCAACACTATTAAATATCAGATTCTTTGGTGTTCTTTGTATTAATCCTGCCTCTAAGTAGTTCAGGTGCAACATATGATACAATTCCATAGACTTGATCTGATGATTTTTCATCAACTGGTCCACATAATTCCAAATCTGTAATAAAACATCTACCTTCATCTATTAATATATTATCACTATGTAAGTCACAATGAATTAAATCTCTTTCATGTATATCATCTAATGCATGGCATAAATGATATAATATTGTAATTCTGTATTTTAATGTTAAATTTAAGTGATTTTTTTTGTAAATAATCCATTAAATTTCCTTCTGGAGCATAGGATAAAACTATTGCATAATTTCCATTATCTGGGAATTTAGTTATACCATAGCAAGAAACAATTGGTGGTGTTTTAATTTTACAATAATTTATTGCCTGAAATTAAATATAAAAATCAATTAGTATAATATAATACACTATTGTTTATTTTGTTTTAAATGACAATGAGTTTTTAAACATAACATATTTTATATATTTTTAGTTTCAATTATGTCATGTGAGTTTTTTTAAATATAAATACATGCACTTGTACAAATGGTCTTTTGTAGTCTATACACACGTTTTTTGTGATATGCTTTATTATTATAAACAATAATAATGTTACCAAGATTAGAATTTAATATTAATATTAATTGGTTGGAATACCCTAATTCTGAATTTATTTATTTTTACAATGGATAACAGTCGTATTCCAAATTTATTTATTTATCCATTTATCTATTCATTTTATATTATTTATTATTATTTATTTGTATAACATTGTGAGATTGTAAATGAGGACTGAGGAAGTCCCGAGCATGTCGATCAATCGGAACCAACTTACTGCGGCAGTCAC